GTGAAAAGCCAGGGGGTGGGGAAAGACAGGCCCACTGAGCGCCAGCCTTAATTCATAATAATCCTATGATAAAACAACTCACCCTTACTGTACGTATCGAGCCCTCACGTGAATACTAAATCTATGTTTGTGTAGATATCATTACCACACTGCAGCTGCAAGGCCACAAGTATAAGCATGGTGTCTCAGGTTCAAACCTGTGAGAGATAGTGATTGTGGGAGAATAATACTAACACATAATCCTATGATAAAACAACTCACCCTTACTGTACGTATCGAGCCCTCACGTGAATACTAAATCTATGTTTGTGTAGATATCATTACCACACTGCAGCTGCAAGGCCACAAGTATAAGCATGGTGTCTCAGGTTCAAACCTGTGAGAGATAGTGATTGTGGGAGAATAATGCTAACTGGTATTCATGTAACTAAATATACATTTAGTATCAAAATACACATTTACTATGTGGCAGACACCATGTTGAGCATGTTAAACACGTTGAATACAACTAAGTCTTCGGTAAGCAGAATATGAAATGACCAGTTTCTCTGCAGGAGTCTGTTACCTTGGTCAGGAAATTTAGCATCTAAGTCATCCCAGTGGTTCTTGGTCACATGAAGGCCAGAGGTTTCATTCTTTTTTATGGCCGAGTAATATTCCATTGTGTATATGTATCACTTCTTCTTTACCCAATTGTCTATCGATGGACATCCAGGTTGCTTCTATCTCTTGGCTACTGTAAATAATGCTGCACTGAACACAGAGATGCACATGTCTTTTCGTATTAGTGTTTTGGATTTCTTTGGATAAACACACAGAAGTAGGACTGCTGGGTTACAAAGCAGTTTTTTTTGTTTTGTTTTGTTTTTTTAAGAAACTCCATACTGTTTCCCATGGTGGCTGCACCAATTTGCAATCCCACTAACAGTGCATAAGAGTGCCCTTTGCTCCACATACTCACCAACACTTGTTTGTTGATTTATTCTGAAATCTTACCATTTGTGATAACATGGATGGACCTAGAGGATATTGTGCTAAGTGAAGGAAGTCAGGCATAGAAAGACAAATACTATATAATTTCACTTACATGTGGAATCTAAAAAACAAAATAAATATTGTAATAACTATGTATGGTGTCAGGTGGGTACTAGACTTATCAGGGGATCACTTTTTAAGTTACATAAATGTCTAATCAGTATGTTGTACACTTAAAACTAATATAATATTGAAACTATAATTGAAACTGTAGTCGAAATTTTTTTTTAATTAAAAAGGCCAGATGTTAGCAAAGAAAGATCTGCATGGGGTCTCAATGCCAAAGGCAATTCACAGTAAATTATGGGTTATGTCTGTTTATATTTTAAATGTTGCCCCACAGCTTTGGTACAACTTTCAACCTTGAGTTCTCTGTGCCCCCAAAGCTAACGAAGAGGCTAGGTGCTGAGTGAGTACCTGGGAGTGATTCTCCAGGACAAGGAGGACCTGGGGCCAATGATGGGAACTACTGTACCACTCCCTTTCCCATATCTTTTAGAATGAGCATTTCATTGAATTACTGAGTGAAAGCTTTCTTTCAAATGCGTAATCTTGGGCAAATCATTCAACTCTGTGACTCAGATTTTTGTTTGTTTTTGTTGTTGTTGTTTTGGGG